AGGAGGAGGTGGAGGGGCGGGGGAGACATCTGTGTGCAGAAAAGAGTCAACTCAGGGTGTGGGAATCGCCCTGTGGAGTCCTTACATGGAAATGCACATCCACCACGGAGGGTGGGCGTGAGCCCCCAGCAGGCCCCGGCCCAGTATGTCACAAGGGGCCAAGCTTGCTGAGCTAAAGAAGTAGGCCGTGCGCAAACAGTTGTCTGGGCAGTCTATCTGCCTCAGAGCTGCTCTGTTTTAGTCAATGCCTGGGGGTCCACAGGGAAGGGGGTCCCCTCTTACTGAGCCTGTCCTTGTCCCCTCTCTTGTCTGCTGGGCAAGCAAGCTTGCTCACGGCTCTCTATCTCCAAGTCTGGTACTAAGGAAGGTCTCAGCAGAGTGTTGCTGGCTACAAGGCTGTGTGATTGTTTTTTTCTTCTTCTAGATGTCAGTGTTTGCATCTACACAATAGTACCAGCTCCCACCTGACTTGGAGATTCAGGGGGTAAATAAAAGAAGACTCAAAACCCTAGCTATGCTGGAGGCTGAGATCTGAGGATGGAGGTTCAAAGCTAGCCTGGGTAGGAAAGTCTGTGAGACTCTTAACTCCAATGAACCAGCAAAAAAAAAAAAAATCTGGAAGTGGAGCTGTGACTCAAGTGGTAGAGCACTAGCCTTGAGCATAAAAGCTCAGGGACAGTTCCCAGGCTTGTGAGTTCAAGCCCCAGGACTGGCACAAAATAAAATAAAGTAAAATAAAAACAACATATTGCAAAAGAAGATGAAGAATATTACTTAAAAAAATTAAAAAAGAATAGCTGGGTGGTGGTAGCTCATGCCTGTCACCCTAACTACTCAGGAGGCTGAGATCTGAGGATCATGCACGGTTCAAGACCAGCCTGGGCAGGAAAGTCCGTGAGACTCTGATCTCCAATGAACCACCAGAAAACCAGAAGTGGTGCTGTGGCTCAAGTGGTAGAGCGCTCACCTTGGGCTGAAGAGCTGAGGGACAGCGCCCAGGCCCTGAGTTCAAGCCCCACGACTGACCAAAAATAAAAAAATAAAAAAAATATAGAGAGGGAAGGAGGGAGGGAGGGAGGGAGGAAGGGATAGATTGTGTGCACTGGACATAGATCAATCAGCCCACAGCTATTGCTATTATAACACATAGGTTCCCATCACTTGCCTGAAGAGAGGAGGGCTCCATCTTTGGGGGACAGCTTATATACTCCTGTGGGAAGGGGAGCAGGCACCCTAAGCCTCACTTCTTCATTCTTGGGTGACTTCATTCCCCAAGCCTTGCTAGCTCAGCCCCTGGAGCCCTCCCCCTCAGCAAGGTTTGCTGGCCCAGATTCCGTGACTACAGGCGTGATGTGTGGGGCCAGGTGACAAGTTAGAATCCATCAGATCCATGTCAGGAGCAAATGCCTGTGCTGCAGCTGTCCACCAAGAATGCCTGCTGCCAGAAAGGGGGGTGGAGGGAGGGAGGGAGGAGGGGAGAGGGAGAGAGGAAGGAGACAGAGAGGCAGAAGAAGAGATAGAGAGAGGGAGGGAGGGAGAGAGGGAGGAGAAGCAGAGAGAGGGAAAGAGAGAGGGAGGGAGAGGGAGGAAGGGAGAGAAAGGGAAAGAGGGAGAGAGAGGGAGGGGGGAGGGAGAAGGAGAGGAAGAGGGAGAGACAGGGAGAGAGGGGAAGGGGGAGAGAGGGAGAGAGGGAGAGGAGGGAAGGAGAAAGAGGGAGAGAGAGAGAGAGCAAGTATACACTGCTGACCCACCTCTAGCAGTAAGACTGTGTTTTCTCCATACCAGATGGAGGCTTGGTGGTGTCTGTCTGTCTGTCCATACCTTTGTTTCTTAACCAGTTGAAATTTCTTTTTAATGAAAAGACCAAGGAACAAGAAGCTCCCTGGTGACAGTACATTTCAGATGGCTTTTTTTTTTTTTTATAGAGTAAAGCACACTACGGGAGAGTCAAATGTTTATATACCAGCACCAAACTCTTAGGTGAAAAGTGAAGCAAGTTTCTTTTACTGGTCTTGAGATTTAATTCATCTTTACATGCCTCGTATTCTTTTGCTAGATACAATCTCTCAGTAGATACAAAGGGAGAAATAAGTAGTAAAAATATTTCATTGTAAATTTTGGGGTTAGTACTTCTTATTGTAAACTAGGAATCTAGACTTCAGGAAATAAAAATTTTTTTTTTGGTAGGTCATGGGGCTTGAACTCTGGGCCTGGGCGCTGTCCCTCAGCTCTTCAGCTCAAGGCTAGCGCTCTACTATTTGAGTCACAGTGCCACTTCCGGTTTTCTGGTGGTTTATTGGAGATAAGAGTCTCACATATGTTCCTTTCTGGGTTGGCTTTGAACTTTGATCCTCAGATCTGAGCCTACTGAGTAGCTAGGATTATAGGCGTGAGCCACTGGTGCCTGGCTGACAATCTCTCTCTCTTTTTAAAAGATAATCCTTAAAACAGGTCAAATGGAATCAAGAATACAAACACACACACACACACACACACACACACACACACACACACACGAGAAATTGGAAAAATAAGAATTAATCTAAACAGATGAAATTTTCTTTGAATTCTAGTGACTACTCCAATTTGTATAAAGGATTTATTTGAACTATCTGAAACACCCTATTTAATGAAGTACACAAAAAATGTCAGCAGTAATTTTTTTTTTAACTTACTCTATACCATAGTATCATCAAGATAGATCAATGACTACCAAGTAACGAAAACCAGGACTGGGAATGTGGCTCAGTGGCAGAGTGTCTGCCTAGCATGCATGAAGCCCTAGGTTCGATTCCTCAGTACCACATACACAGAAAAAAGCCAGGAGTGGTTCTGTGGCTCAAGTGGCAGAGTGCTAGTCTTGAGCAAAAGAAGCTGACAGACAGTGCCCGGGCCCTGAGTTCAAGCCCCAAGATTGGCAAAAAGAAAAAAAAAAAAGAAAAAAAGTAAGGAGAACTGGAGACAGGGTGTTAAATGATTTTGACTGGTCATATACCAGGGCCCCATATTAGATCTTACAGAATTTCAATATTGATTTGGTTTGAAAACATGTTGTGTAGCAAATTTTATCCCATCAAGAAGCGATAGACCCCTCTTTGTATTACTCTTACCCTGCTTGATTTTTAATCCTAGCCTTCATCACCATTAGAGATGTATTTGTTCGTGTATTACTTTTTGGCCACTTTTGCACACAGCAGAAACGTTGCTCATTGGCTTCTCTAGCATGGGAATTCCCCTCCCCCCAAACATAGCAGGTGTCAATACATACTTGAGAGAAGGGCAATCTTCCCTGAACCTGAAATGAATGACCTCAATGATCTTCCGGAAATAAATGACCTCAACCCCTGCAGATGGAGTCCACCCCCACCCCTCCAGCACTCTGTCCCCCGGTGAAAACATAGCACGTTGAAGAATGCAGAACAAGCCCCAGCCTCCCGTCGTGGTGATTCTGGCCTCCTGGTTTTTCCCTAGACAAGGCCCAGGCCTGGATTTCCCTCTGCACACCTGCTTTTTGTCCTCAGTCTACCTCTAAGGGAAGGCCAGGAGCTGGTCACCCCCCAATGAGACCTGGTGACCTCTTACCGTGTGTGCTAATGGTCTCCAGGGAGTGACCCCAGAATGGATCACCCCCCACGCCCCTCACAAGCCACCAAGAAGTTCGGGAATGGCCCAGTGGGTGTTTCCAAAATAAAGCCCAGAACCGAATGGAGCCCATTGATGCCTTTCCCAGGCACCCCTGATCTTGAGGGGGAAAGTGAGGGGGAGCTGAGGTCTGGGGTGCTGTTCCTCAAGAGGTAGCCCTGGGGACGCAATACCGCGGGGAAACTGAGGCACGCCCTTGTTTGGGCGACCACTGGAGGGTGTTTATTTCATTTTCTTCGTTTTGAGTCAACATTCGTTTGCAATGGGGGGGGGTCTCACTGTGATGTTTCCATGCGAGCAACCCGGGCACTTGGAACAAAGTCCCCCCCTCGCCCCTCCTCCGCCATGTTCTCCGTGCTTCCCTCCCTCCTCCCGTCCTTTGCTGGGCTCCATTACGGGGGAGGTTAAACGTCCTGGGCCCTGTGCCTCAGCGGCCCTCCAGGCAGACCCCGCCCACCAAGAGCCGGCCACGCCCCCGGCTGGCCACGCCCACCAGACAGGTCACACCCACAAAGCCAAAGCCGGCCTCCCTGGCTGGCCCCACCTACCAAGAAGCAACCTCCATTCAGGCTGGGCATGCCCTCCAATCCAGCCCTGCCCTCCGGGCTGGCCTTGCCCCTCCCTCCCAGATGGCCACGCCCACCAAGCCTCCTGGACGGCTCTATACTCAGGCTGGCCAAGCAAACTCCCTCCAGGAGGCCCCACCCACCAAGCTCCGCCCCTTATTCTAGGCCAGCCCCGCCCACCAAGCACCCACCATCCAGACTGGCCACGCCCTCCAAGTCCAGCCACGCCTGCCAGTTTGACCACGCCCACCGAGCCTGGCCTACCCTCCAGGCCTTGGTCTCCACCCCAGCCTTTCAAATCAGGCCCCGCCTCCCAAGTGGAAGCTCCGCCTCCTCAGTGCTAGCCACGCCTTCCAATACTGGCCCCACCTCTCAAGTGCTGGCCCCGCCCCTGGAGCTCCCCACCCCTTCCAAGTGGTGCAGTTGCCTGTCAATCAGCCTGGCCCTCTGCGGAGGAGCTTCCCTGAATGCCAGGGTGAGGCGTGGGCTTCATATCCCGCATCCGACCACACTGAAAACACCTCCTCAGCCCCAGCCCGGTCCCCAACAGTGTAAGCCAGAGAAGGTCACAGCTGATCGGAGTGGAGGAGAAAGCCAGTGAAAGCCTGGCCAAGGAAAGAGTGACCCCCGGACACACGCCTCTCCTCGGCTCCACCTGGAGCACTGAGGAACGAGTCCACCACGTCTCCCGATTGGTAGAGCATCATCAGCCTGGAGCACGAAAGCCAGGCAAGAGTGTGAAACCCTGGGTTCAAACCCCACTCCTGGAACAACGTCAGAGGGGGCTCCTACCTGGCAGGCGCTGGCAGCTCCCACATTGCGGCTCGTTGCGCAAGGACAGCGTCTCGCAGCCTCCACGTGGCCTCTGGGGACAGGATCTCTGGGCACCTGCTCGCTGCATGGCCCCGTCCTGGTCAGGACCCTCCTGCACCAGTGAGAGGCTCTAAGAAAGGCCCTGATCAGACCCTCTTGCCCTCCGCAAGCCCACCCGGAGTGGAGTCTGATGGTGGAGTTGGAAATCCAAGAGGGTAACCTGAGTGCTTGCTGATGCCCAGGGGATCCATGGCCCCCCAGCCACCTGGCCCTCGCAGCCCAGCTGCCATCCTAACCATCCCCAGGCAGGCGCCAGCAGGTCGGTGGCCTTCCCAATTGTGGGGGTTGAGGGGGGGGGAGGAAGGGAGGGTCTAGAGTCACCAGCCACACCCATGGCAGAAGGTGGGGCTGGTAGCTCACCCCTGTCGTCCTAGCTTACTCAGGAGGCTGGGATGAGAGGATCGTGGTTCGATGCCAGGCTTAGGCAGGAAAGTCCCCGAGACTGCTTGCTTATCTCTAATTAAATAAATTTTAAAACAATAAAAACCTACAAGTGGAGCTGTGGCTCAGTGATAGAACGCTAGCCTTGGGCAAAAAAAAAAAAAAAGCTCAGAGACAGTGCTCAGCGCCCCTCACCTCCACTCCCCCCACCCCATGAAATACTATGTTCATGGATGTCAGGTTGCTTTAAGCTGATCCACACATCAATATAATACCAACTAAAAACTAAATAGGTTTAAAAGACAGAGAAATTGCAAGTAAATTAAGTGCTGGTGGCTCACACCTGTAATCCTAGCTACTTAGAAGGTGGATATCTGAAGATCTAGATTCAAAGCCAGCCTGGGCAGGAAACTCCATGAGACTTAGCTCATGTTAACTAAATCTAGAATAGCAAAAATCTGGAAGTGGTGGTGTGGCTCAAATAGTAGAGTGCCAGCCTTGAGTGAAAAAGCTCAGGGACAGCACTCAGTCTAAGTCCCATTACCAGTACACACACATACACACATACACACACACACACACACAGAACAGAAATTATAAAATCAAATAAATGGATACATTGAGCTTTATTGAATTGCAAGGTTTGGCTCTCCAAAAGATATTAAGAGAATAAGCCAGGCACTAGTGGCTCATGCCTGTAATCCTAGCTACTCAGGAGGCTGAGATCTGAGGATCATGGTTCAAAGTCAGCCCAGGCAGGAATTCTATGAGACTCTTATCTCCAAGAAACCACTCAGAAAACCGGAAGTGGCGCTGTAGCTCAAGTGGTAGAGCACAAGCCTTGAACTGAAGAGCTGAGGGACAGCGTCCAGGCCCAGAGTTCAAGCCCCATGACCGACAAAAAAAAAAGAAAAAGACCAGTCAGAAACTGGAGAAAATATTTCAAAACACAGATTTGATTAAAGACTTGTATCCTAAGGATATAAAGTATTTTTACAATTCAGTATTAAGGATATCAACAGCATAGTTTCAATGAGCAGAATTACATATACACTTCAAAAAGGAAGAGTTTTAAATGAAGACATGAAAAAGTGTCCAACTTTATTAACTCTTACATAAATGCATATTAAAACTACAATGATGGTTTATATTGTTGATCTCAGCTACTCAGAATGGGGAGATTTGCACAACTTTGGTTCAAGACCAACTTGGGCTAAAAGTTAGAGAGACTCCATCTCAACAAGTACCACCTGAACATGGTGGTGTATGTCTCTAATCTCAGGTATTTAGGATGCATTAAAAAGAAGATAAGGGGCTGGGAAAGTAGCTTAGTGATAGAGTGCTTACCTATCATGCATGAGGCTCTGGGTTCGAGTCCTCAGTACCATATATATAAAAATAGTAAAATTATATTAAAAAAAGAAGATAAGGTATGAGAACCTGTTCCCCGAATGCAAAAGGGCCAGAGGCATGGTTCAAGTGGTAGAGACTGTCTAGAAGGAGGGAAGTCTTGAGTTCAAAGCTCAGTAATGCCAGAAAATGAATAATGCCTGGAATCCTAGCCACTCCGGAGGCCAAGATTTGAGGATGTTGGTTCAAAGACAGCCCAGGCAGGAAAGTTCATGAGATTCTTATTTCCAATTAGCCTCCAAAAAACCAGAATGGGGGCTGTGGATCAAGTGTACTAGCCTTGAGCCAAAAAATCCCTCAGGGACAGTGCCCAAGCCCTGAGTTCAAGCCCCAGGACTGGAGCACACACACACACATTTCTTTTACTATTGACAATTTCCAGTGTTGGGGTGGGGAGTGGGGTGTGAAGATCTAGAACTTTCCTGGCATTGTTGGAACAGCACCTTACACAACTAAACACAGACTTTAGGACCCAGCAATTCCACTCTGGGTTATTTACTCAACCAAAAAATGCAAAGATGTCTGCTAGAAGAATGACCTGAGACTTATGACAGCCTTAGTCATCACTCAACTGGAAGCAGCCCAATCTGCGAGATCTGCACACAATGGAATATTACTCAGCCGTCATCGGAAGCGTTGAGAATGGATCTCCAAAACACCGTGCAGGTGAAAAGAACCAGACATGAAAAGGCTGTGTTCAGTATAATTGCATTTATTTGACTCTGTGCAAAAGGCCAGGCTGTATACTTCATAGAAATCAGGTCAGATCACCAAGAGCACTGGAAGGGTAGATTAATTAGGACCTAGAGCTTCTTTCTGGACAGGATCTTGACCTAGCTACAAAAGAGACATTGTTTTAAAACATTCTTAGTTCTGCTCCACCCAATCCTTTTTCTGTTTTCCATCATCTTCCCACAACCTTGTGGACAGGTTTTGATTAAGAATTCACAACCAATCACAATGTGGTGGGGCCTGACCAATAAAATATCACCTTCTGAAAAAACTTACTAACAGGCAGCCAATCGGAGCACAGCTTAAGTTATGGAAACCCTCGGATCTCAGAGCCAACAAGAGAGAACCAAACAGCTGGAGATACAAGCCCCACTGGCTTCTGTCTATAATTCTACCTAGGCAGGAGGCTGAGATCTGTCTGAGGACTATGGTTCAAAGCCAGCCCAGGCAGGAAAACTCTGTGTGATTCGTATCTCCAATTAAGTAGCAAAGAGCCAAAAGTGGAGCTGTGGCTCAAATGGGAGAGTAAATAGTCTTGAGGAAAAAAACCCCTGTGCATAGGCCCTGAGTTCAAGCCCCAGGAATGCACAAACAACAACAATAAAAGCAAATATGACAAGCTGGGCACAAGTGGCTCACGCCTGTCATCCTAGCTACTCAGGAGGCTGAGATCTGAGAATTATGGTTCAAAGCCAGCCCAGGCAGGAAAGTCCGTGAAACTTATCTCCAATAAACCACCAGAAAACCGGAAGTGGCGCTGTGGCTCAAGTGGTAGAGCGCTCGCCTTGAGCTGAAGAGCTGAGAGACAGCGCCCAGGCCCAGAGTTCAAGCCCCATGACTCTCTCTCTCTCTCTATATATATATAATATACATAATATATATATATATATTACTGAATAGTCTTTCATACTCACCTTGCTTTCTCCTGGACTCAATGTTTGTCAAAAGTTATAAAGAGTGAATATAAGGTTAGGTATATTGTGTTTCAGTGAACCTGATTTCAAAGAAAAATAAACATCAGTAGGTAGGTGTATTGATGTAGGCCTATAATTGCAGCATTCAAGAGGCTGAAACAGAGGTTCATGAGTTCAAGTCCTGCTTGGGCTACACAGAAAGTTCTACCAGGCCCAGCCAAGACCCAGTCTCAGAAGAGCAAAAGGAGAGCTGAGTGTTGGTGGCTCACACCTATAACCTTATAATTGGGAAGCTGAGATCTGAGGATCATGGTTTGAAGCCAGCCTAAGCAGGAAAGTCTGTGAGACTCTTATTTCGAACAAACTACTCAGAAAAAGCCAGAAGTGGTGCTGTGGCTCCAGTGTAGAGCGCTAGCTTTGAGCAAACAAAAACCAAAAACCAAACAAACAAAAAAAGAAAAACAACAGCATCAAAGAAAAACAAAGAAGCTTAGGGATAGAGTTTGGGCCCTGAGTTCAAGCCTAGAACCAGCGAGCATGCACATGTACACACACACACACACACACACACACACACACACACACACACATCCCAAAAGAGATCAGCTCAACAAAACACTCATTTGGCAGCAAAACGTTTTGAGTATTTTTTCAGCCCATCATTAAGAAGGTAAAACAAGGATCTTTCTCCCAAGCACTAAAATGGTAATAATGGTAATAACAGACCTTACAACCATCTGGCTTATGGCCAGGATATTGTAATGTGCTCCTTTACTTGTTAAAACATTTACTTGTTAAATTGATTGAGCCAGATGCTGGTACCTCACGTCTGTCATCCTAGCTACTCAAGGAGGCTGAGAATAGAGCATCACAGTTCGAAGCCAGGCTGGGCAGGAAAAGTTTGTGAGACTCTTATTTCCAACTAACCAGCAAAAAGTCCGAAGTGAAGTTGCGGCTCAAGTTGTAGAGCATCAATCTTGAGCAAAAAAGCCAAGGGACAGGATCTGGGTTCTGTGGTCAAGCAACAGTACTGGCATAAAAATACCACAACTCACCAACCAACTGCCCCCCTCCCAACTCCACAAAAAACAAAAACAACCAATCAGAATGCTATGCAACCCAAGCACCAATAAGGTGTCATCTTCCAGAATACCGTAATATATTAAGGGCAACCAATCAGAGCACAGCTCAGGTTATAAGAACCTTGACTCTGGGCTACTGAGAGAAAAAATGACAGACATGGAAGACCGCAGCAGCGCTTGTCCTGGACTTCAGATGTTGAATAACTGAGCTGATAGTGAGCAGTGGTGGATTTGTAGCACTGGTTGGCATTGTCTTTCCTGAGCTACAGTACTAAGCAAGTGTTGCTTAGTACTTCTTAATGCTGAGACTTTAGTTATCACTGCTGTCCAAGGAGCTAAAAGAGCACCACCTTACTTTACCACAGAAAACCTGTATCCTAAGTATGATTTTCCTACAATGACAGAATCACCTAATGAGGAATTACTCATAGCATATCTCTGTTTGGTTAATATGATTCCTCATTTTTTCCCCCAGTTCTGGAGCTTGAACTCAGGGATTGGATGTGTCT